TGCCAACTGCAAGTTCAACGATCTCACGTTCACTAATCACCCTCCGCAGTTCTATCAGTAAATTATTATCATCCAACAAGCGTTTTCTCGGTCACGAACCGTTCACCTATTTAAGGTCGATGGTTTCCTTGATGGGATTTGCTCATTGTTTTACATATTATAGTTAGTCGTAGTTTACATGAAACGAATTCAATACTATAAGATCTGTTTCATTCATTGGTGCGTTTTTGAATAATATGCTCGAATGCATCTGTATTATGCCGCTCAGCAGGTATGTTTGTTTTGTGATTATATCCTCGGTAAAATGAACTGTTCATAGAAACTATCAGCGTGTGGCTGAGTTCCTCACTCAAACGGCTGATCTCTTGACAATATTATTTAGGAAAAATTTGAGAACGTATTGTGTGAAATACTACAAAAATTGTTGAAATACTCGTCACATGTTCACGTGATCAGTTTGAATTACAAATACTTCATACAAGCGCATCAGTTCCTGCGTATCTGCATTCAAACGAGCGCTCTGTGAGAATACTGCTGCATCAATGGAAAGCAATACCCTTTCATGGAAAACAAGGTCATATTGATTCTTAAATTTTCTAATCAGACTCGAAGAAAATAGAAGGGTTATAGACCATCTTAGGCGAATTATACCAATTAGTGATGGAGATGAGGCCACTGTAAGCTGTTGATATTATTGTTTGCCAACGTCGACTACGAAAGTTTGTTATCCCCTTTCCCTCATATCCTCTTTCATAGTATATAGCCGATATCTGCCTCAAACACTCGAAGACTTTCATTGTCATTTACCATTGAATATTTGCTTGCGAAATATCCCTCAATATCCGCATTCCTACAACCAGCTGCAACGTAGCCCCTTCTTCACTTTATCTGCAGTAAACACCGTCTTATTCAAACACTCGATTTATTTTTATGTATCGCAGTAAGCATCCTCACGGTTTAGATGGAATTCTATAATAGAATAATTTTTTGAATCTACTTCTGTTCTATTGATCTATGTTCTCAGCTATCTTCCTCGGATGTCATTAAATATTTTACGCGACCACCAATATTTTTTCATTCCAAAAGACGCTTTGATTTTTGAGTATTTGAATCCCTTGTTCAATACTCGTGTTGCATTACGACACAAACCGGCTACAATCATTTTCAGTCCAACAGCAATGAGTTTACCTATTGCATGATATAATCGCCGTGCTCAAATAATGTTTCAAAGCACTTCCCCTTCGATGAGCAACTTTATCATGGCGGCGATCAAAGGTTCGCATGCCAGTTCAACCGAGTAATCAGTTGGACGTTGCTAAAATCGAAATTATAGGCGAACAGATATGCATAAACATGATGTGTTCTGCATCCTTCCTCAGACCTCAGACCTCATAAAGTGTAAAAAATTGCAGTAAAGGAGTGTTTATGTACTAAATTCATTTGGCGGAAAATGTTAAATTTAATTCGAACTGAAGAAGTAATTCAACAGGTGTGTACCATTTGATATCTGGCTCGGCCCAGATCCACCCTTGTAATAGCGTTCGTGCTCCTTTCACTTGCAACAATCGCTCATTCATGATTTTGAACTATACGTAATTATCCAACAAAAATAAGGTCACATACAGTTCATTGCCAATGAACTAAAGTCATCATCATTGCACTTCTTCGAATTGTTATGTCATCATTGAAATGCGTTCAGCGTATAATCCCAATCAAAACGATTCACTTCCAGCAGCTCCAAAATTGGTGTTCATTGAACCATCACTTGTTCGAATAGTTATTAAAAAATGTCAAACGGTCAGCTCAAAGTGCAAAAAGATTGAAAGTTCTAAAAATTTAAAAAAGCAAGTCTTACACAAGGTGACGCCAATGCAGCCAGCATTTCACGTGACTTCGATACTGTGTTCGAAAAGGTGTTCGATCGCATCACATCCGTGAAAATGACTGATTGCATCGAAGTGACAGAATTATTTCAGGACCACTGCGTGAAGGGGTTGAGAATTTGACAGTTAGCTTAACAAACGAAACAATATTATCAGTCGTTGATCTTTCTACATGGATTTATTTCGGTTATTGCTGAGGTTGCTTTTGACCAATGGACTTTGCTGGGCACAATTTCAATTCGATAACGCCGTCACTCAAACATCTCTGAGGCCATCGCTTCATGCACCTATTTTAAAGGTACGAAGTCAATAACTCGAAGCGAAAATTTCATATTCATTATTTGAAAAAAAAAAACCTGCTTTTGAAGCTGACAACACACACTTTAGTTGTTCTGAAGCTAGATGACTACCGAACAATTTCTGTATTCGTTCAATATCATACACATCCGGAACATCGCTAATGTTTTGTTTTCCATAAGAAATAGTACATCGGTTAGAAGAAACCGTATCAGTTCGCTTTCATCACGCTTTTTTGAACGAATGCTACTACCACTTTTGCTGGTCTCTGTGACACTAGAAGCATTTGATAGTGTATCGCTCTAAATGAAAATTGAATCGTGACAGTCAACATAATCCCAAAACCAGCACTACAGTCCCTTCAATCACATCCTCTATCAACTTGGCTATTTGAGCTGTTCAGGCACAAACTTTAATGCATTCTTGCCGTTTCTAGGTTACCTCGTCTGAAGGATTCTTATCGGAATCGGCCGAAATGGGAACGATTGTTCGCGTTTCACCAGCACCTCATTCGGAGTCACTACAGATTATTGTTCAGGACGCAGATTTGGTAAGTTCTTCCAGCTTCCGTCTTAGCATTGTAAAACCGGTTCATTCCTAAACAATTGTTGAGGTGTCTTCAACATCCTGCAGGAGGTGGGAATTGGGAAGGTATACAATTGAGAAGACGTAGAAAAAGTTAACAATTGTAACGCAATTTTTACGTTCACCTCTAATCACGAACTATTTTCTATCTTCTTTGAGTACCACAACAATTACGAGGGCTCCAGCCGGTGAGAATGAACCACGAATCCCTACAGAACAAATTTCATCCATTTAATCTCAGGCTGTACATCTGCTCATCATTATCTTCCATCCGCACCCTAATTCATAATTCACACTTGCGGGTTGCTGAAGCTTTACAGCTCCAGTATCATTGCAGTTTTCAACACATACTAAACAACTCTAATTTCCTTACTTCACTATCTCCGCGACTTTCTTGTTTATCAAGTCGTAAAATTGCAGTGCGCCTGTAACGTGCAAAATCCATTAGAACGAGCAACAGAGGTAAAATTGCATTACTGTAATGTTGAGTATGCGCGTCCTTCTGTGACATTGCTCCCCCGCATGATTGAATGAAGAATGTGTTATTGGATACCGAGAATCATTCCACTCCGAATGATTCTCTCCGCTGCATGACAGGGAATGCTGTATATGACTTCTCACCAATGTAACTGTATCAAATCTGTTTTGCAACATCTCTCTCCGTTTTATCTTTCCCTATTTCTGAACCTGTATCAACTGAAAATTCGAAATACTCTGTTTCATCTATCATACTGATCTCCTTATCACAGTCACTTGATCATCCCCTTTTCCATCTCTCATGGCTCATTCATAATTCTGAGAACACCATTTTATGGTGACTGATTCAATCCTGCTGCTTCAGTGACACCTTCATGAACTTATGAACCTATCAACTCCATGTAATATCTCCCAAAATCCTAATCTCAAACTGGATTACTATTCCACGTAAAATGTGATGAAATATCTCGTCAGGATTAGCTCATCTGACGTCTATTTCTATGCTCGGCTACCAAGAACTTGGGATTGATGGCTCCTGCGAACGTTTTTCACGCAATTACCATTCATTTCTAAAAGGACCCAACATCACAGCATCCGTTTTCTCCTTCAATCATCTCATTAATAAAATGTTGACCAAGTCCAATCCATTACAATGTTTAATCAGTAATGTATCAATCCTTATTACATCCTCGATTCTACCCTTCTTAGTAAGGCATGCTTCAGACCCTCCGCATACCTAGTGGATCCGTTCCCAATGAAATAACTCACAGATGCCTGGCCAACTCTAAACTTTTTAGAAGCCAGGAATGGCTGCAGCAACATACGAATACATCTT